ACAAATTTGAATATATCATTAGGATAATATATCTAAATTCATTTAGTAAATTATATCAACATTAATCTTAAATCGAAGCTCTATTATTATGAAATTGTAAAATGTTAATTCGGGGTAATGTATGCCTTTTGCATTTGAGAAAACTGAATTGTAAAGTTTAGTGAATCATTGAAATGTTTATAAGACATTAAATTGTCCAGAATGCATATGTCATGAACTCACTATAATTATTATGTTGCAGACACTATCCATGAGTGCATTTATTTTGTTTGACTAGTGAGTAGTAGTGCTAGATGGTGTAGGGATCAATGGTTGATAGAAATAAAATTTATTGAGTGGTCCAAACTCATGTAAGTAGTCTTTATTTATTTTGTTAAAATTATTTTCAGACCAATTATTAAAAGTTCGATTAATTAATGTTATTCTTAGATGAGGTTCGTGAGATTGAGGGTGCCTTTAGGTGGCGCGACCAACCCCTGCCGAAAAGAAGAGTCACAGATCATCGACAAAAAACAAATGCGCCCACCCCTTGACCAAGTTGAATGGGCTTCCATCAAACAACTCCAACTACCCACTAAATTAGGTGGCCTTGTCTCTCCAAACAAAACACAGAGAGATATAAGGTTATCGGATCACCCTGCCCGGAGTAAAAGAATCCCTACTTCTCCCCTCAACTTCGCCGATCCTATAGTATCACCTCCTTCGCCTTACGACTTCATTCGTTAATTAAATCCCTTCTTCGTTGTAGTGCACAAAGGTTTCTCTGGCAAGAATCCAATATAGCACCTATGGAATTGGTATTCTCTTAAACCTAAATCAGTATTCGCAGAGATGTAGTAACCAGACTTAGCAGAATTTTAGGGTGCATGTAACAAAATGCATTAACGTCGTACTTCTTCTACTTGTTCCATTATATTATCATTTTTTATCTAACAAATATCTTACCCTTTTTGAAAGGGTGTTTGCCGAATATGTCTTATTAATTTTTTTAATCTTATTCAAATGAAGGAAATCAAAGTTGAAGTTTCATTATAACATACCTGCCAATCTTTTGTTCCTTTCTTCCTCTTTCCATGGCTCATGTAGTAGGAACTTGTGTTTCTTGCCACTGAGAGAATGGTGACTTGTTTACACCCATGGTTGCACATCTTTAAAATCTTGGCCAATATAAATTGAAAATAATACGGTTTGAGAAAAACATTAGCATCTATACGGGATTTCTGGAAAATAATTAGGACAATGCATAATGTTAATTACCAATGAAAAACGATTTTGTTCCTCTAATTCCGTAACTCAAGGCCATCACAATTAAAGAAAAATAAAAGTATGATAAACATGGAAAGAATGGTAATGAACATGGCCATGTCGAACCGGACGATCCGGCGCGGTTTCTATGTGTTATGACGGCTTGTTGCGCCTAGGGTTGTTCATCGGTCGGTTCGATCGACTGATCGAACCGAACTATAAAAACTGAATTAACCGAACCACTATATTTTCTAAACTGAAACCGACCGAAGTATTTTATTAAAACCGAAATACAACCGAACCGAATTATTCAGTCGGTTTGGTTGGTTAACTGAATATTTATAAAATAAACAATTTTTTTTTAGGTTAGCCTTTTCATTGGGCTAACAAAAAAATAAATGCAACATAAAAACACATCCACAAAAACACCAATAAAACAACAATAGAAGTCCAGAAAAACAACCATATATATAAGTCCCTAGAAAAACAGGAATAAAAATCCAAAAAAACAGCACTAATGTCCCCAGAAAAAAGAGCAATAAAACAACAATAAAAGTCCAAAAAAAAAAGGAAATAAAGTCCACATAAAACAACAATAAAACAACAATAAAAAATCCAGAAAAACGGCACTAAAGTCCCCAGAAAAAGAGCAATAAAAAGCAATAAAAGTCCAAAAAAAAGCAATAAAGTCCCCAGAAAAACAGCAATAAAAGGTCCAGAAAACAGCATTCAAAAGGCCTTTAGAACAGCCCCGAAAAGCATCCAAACAGCCCCTAAAAGCACCCAAACAGCCCCGAACTGTTGTCACAAAAACAACAGCTATACACTTTCAAAACAACCTTGAAATAACCCAGAAACGAGCCTTAATACAGCAAAAAATAAATAAAAAAAGCACAAAAAACAAGTGAAAATATCTTACACAAATCAATTTTTAGAACAATTAAAAAGAATGAAACTTAATAGTGGTTACCTCAAATTTCACAAGTCGTACTTCACTATGTTTGTCCAATCCCCACTTGCGGCAGAGCTAAAAATGAGACAAATTAAAATTAGGATTTTTATTAGAAAAATATACAAAGTATTTGAACATCAACATTACCTTTTTCAAGCATTTTTAGTTCGTCCAATGACTCTTCAACGCATAAAGGGACGCATTCATTACGGAGCAAATCTTGTGTACATATCAATGTTTCAACAATTTTAGGAGTTAAAGAACTCCTAAATTTGTCGAGCATCCGCCCACCGGTGCTAAAGGCCGATTCCGATGCAAGGGTTGATATTGGAACACCCAACATATCCGGCACCATCCTCGAAAGAACCCAAAAATATTCAGAATTTGATTTCCACCACTTTAGGACATCAAGATCTTCTTGTCCCTCGAGCACATCCTCATTCAAGTAAACTTCAAGTTCGGATTTGTTTTTTGCAAAACCCCCGTCGCTAACTTTTGCTTCTTGAACTTAGCTTTTAAAATTGATTCGGGCTTGGTACTAATACTTCCATGTTCGGAACCTGAAGTTGAACTTGTTTGAACTCCAATGCCTAGCACTTGCATCATTTTCCAGATCATACTTCTTTTTATACTCTTTGAATAATTCAAAGAGATCATGCTTCACTTCCTCAAGAATTTTCTCCCCCTTTTCAATCCCATACATCTCATTCAAAGTGTAAGCCATGTACTCAAATTTTTCTCTCGGATAAAAAATGCTTGCCCAAGAGATAATTTTATTCATGTATCCCGGCTCTCCCCAATATTCAAAAAAATTTGTTTTCATTAAGTCACCCAAGTCCTTTTTTAAAAGGTCATCGCTCTTTCTCCAATCATCCAAAATGCAACACTAATCGCTAATCTCACTAAAAAAAAGTATTCGAAGTGACATACAAAGAGCCCAAAATCCGTAAGGTAGCATCATAAAAGTACTTCAACAATTCGGAAATTTTTCGAGCACAATACCAATCATAAGAACTAGGAACTAAATCATCTCCCAAATTCTTCACAAAAGAAGCTTCATCTCTTTCATACTTAGCAAATGCTTTTTCAAATTTTTCCGCCGTACTTAGCATCATATAAGTCGAATTCCACCTCGTTTTGACATCAAGACATAATGACTTTTTTGACTTTATACCCTCCCATTCTATACACTCTTTAAATTTTCTAAGTCTAGCGGGAGTATTTTTTATGTATCTAATAGCCGCCCTCACCCGCTTCACTGATGGTTTTACATCTTTAAGGCCCTCGCTAACAATCAAATTAATAATATGAGCAATGCACCTCATGTGAATATATTTACAATTTGCAATGGTATCCCCCCAATCCATCATTCTATTCTTAAAAAATGCCAATGTCGTATCATTTGAGCTTGCATTATCCATCGTTATCGTAAAGACATTTTTTAGCCCCCAATCAAGAATACAAGTTTCAAGTGACTTGGCAATATAATCACCCTTGTGGCTCGAAATGGGAACAAAATTCAATATTTTTTTGTGCAAATTCCAATCATTATCAATGAAGTGGCCGGTAATGCACATATAATTAATTTTTGCAGAGACGTCCAAGTATCAGCGGTAAGACTAACCATTTGACAGTTACTTTTCAAGAAAGATTTCAACTTTGATCTCTCTTTAACAAACATGTCGAAGCAATCTCTTGTAACAATGGTCCGAGAAGGAATTTTAAACCTAGGACATGCTCTGCTCATAAACATTTTAAATCCCCAGCTTTCCACAAATTTAAAGGGCAACTCATCAGAATCTATTGCATATATATGCAATAGATTCTCAAATCTCACCATAATCATATTTCCAAGCAGATATCGAACTCGACCCAACAACACCCTCTTTTCCTGGTTGCACATTTATTAAAGCTTGGGTCATATCAACATTTTCAGGGTATTTCATCCAACTATTCATATGAGCAAGAAGTGACGAGGTACCATTTCGTTTTGTATGGCAAACATATTGCTTATCGCAGTGATTGCATTGAGCTCCTACCACATCTCCCTTTGAGCCAAGAATCTTGGTAAAATGAGCCCATGCCCTAGATCTTGATTGTACTTTACGTCGCGCGGTGCCTCTTTTAACTTCATATGAATCTCCAGTTGACGGTGGAGTCGATGTCTCCTTTGAGGCCTTATCCACCGGTCTCGTGCTTCCGTCCATTTCTTATTGGCTTTAATTTTAGAAAAAATGCAAAATCAAGTTTTTTGACATCATAAAACAGAGTTTGATGTAAAAAGGTAAACTATTAAAATTTATCTAATAATTTTGGGACATTCAAAGTTGCGTTTCTATTTTTCTGAGACCTGTTATCATTCTTCATAAAACAGAGTTCTGAGACATGTTATCATTCAAACCAAATTTATCATAAAACAGATCTCAAGGACCCAAGGTTACATTCAGACCAAATTTATCATAAAACATAGTTTTTGAGACATGTTATCATTCTTCAATCATATGTCATCAGACATTCAAACTTTCTATTTTTCTTTATCTCATTTGGTTTTTCAATTTTCTGTTATTAAAAGGCAAACTGTTACAATTCTCAATTCTCACAAGTCACAAAATTCTCAATTCTCACAAGTCACAACCACAAGAATCAAAAAATTCTCAATTCTCAGAACTAAAACATACCCCTTTTATTGAATCTTTGATTAACA